CCTCGACTAATGCGACTTTCAGCATATAGTCTCAACGGCTCCACTCACTCCGCCATCCCCCGAATTGACTGACAACCTTTTTCTTTTTTTTTCACTGACAGCCAACCTCTTGATGTGCGTGAGAGAGAGATTTCTATTTCTAGAGATGAGGTGCCGTGGGGGTGTCTGCTCCTCCCTCCCCGCTTCCCGCTTCCCGCTCATGTGCAGATCTCTTGATATCCCATCAACGAACTTGCTTGGCCATCTCCTCTTTTGTCTAACCTATTGATGGGCTTTCGATCGTTTAATCAGTTTTTGACTCATTAAAAAAGTTTCGCTCTGTTTCCATCATTCGCTTTTTTACCTTTCCCGCTTCGTTTTGCTTTCCTCGTTCTTCACATTTTGCCTGCCTGCCTCCCACTCCGAGTCTGTTTCCCCATCTCCGTCCCCCTTTTTCGTTGGACATGAGCAAACCCATTCCTCTTTCCCGATTCATCTCATCTCATCTCATCTCATCTCCATCTCATCTCATCTCATCTCCATCTCATCTCCATCTCATCTCATCTCCATCTCATCTTATCTTCTAGTCTTATCGCATTTTGTCGCATCTTGTCTTATCGCATCTTATATGCATTCATCTCATCTCATCTCATCTCATCGGAGCGGTAGAGATCCCCCGTACTCATCGCTGGAGACGACTGAGTGAACACATTCCAATCATCATCATCAACATATTCATCATCATCATCATCATCATCATCAATCATCAATCATCATCATCATAATCATCAATCATCATGATTGAAGACACCTTGCACCTGTTCACAGACCAATCTGATACTACGGACGATGAGTGAGACTGAACTGCCCTTCTGGAACCAAGGTTATTACACGTGTTCGGCTTAAGATTGCCGAGGCACACACGTGCGCGTGTTGATCATTGGCATAGGCATCTAGCAACGTAAGTGGAGTATGAAGAACGGGAGCCAGGACACTATGCGAAGGAGATGAGACATTCACCCCTTCTTTTTCGACTCCATCTTCTCCTCGACGGATATGGCGCGATCGTCCTTCTTAGAGGTGTAGAAATGGCGGCCG